CCTTATATAGTCATTATATAACCCCTATACCACCCTCCTGGCCTATGTGGAGGAGATTGGGCTTCATGTGGTAGATGAAAGAACCACCGTAGCACCACATGTCCAGGGGCCAACCGACCGTGTGGGTCACTGTCCCTGCCCGATGGTTCTCTGGTCTGATCTCCCACACCTGCCCGACTTCACATGGGGCTGCAATCGATAACTCTTATTACTCTTATTAATACTGTTACTACTATTACTATTACTAGTACTATTACTATTACTATTTCTTATTGTTCTAACTAAAGGAATGATTATTGTTATTTGGCGCGACCCACGAGGCACCTCCTTGACTCCGAGACCATAATGCTGTGGAGACACACCTGGCACAGGGTTTAGGGTTTAGGGTTTAGGCTTTAGGGCTTAGGGTTTACGGTGTAGGGTTTAGGGTTTAGGATTTAGGGTGCAGGGTTTAGCCCTCCCCTCTCCCGCTGAGCCTGGAGCTTTGCCCTGAACCCAGTAGTCTCCATTTTATTTTCCATTATCCCAATATAACCCCAATATAACCCTAATATAATCCCTATATAACCCATTATAGTAGTTTCCATTTTATTCTCCAGTATCCCAATATAACCTCCCTTATAGCCTATATCCCCAAGTCAGGAAGATGCCTTCTCTGAGGTTGTAGTGCTTCATTAGCAGCTCACTCATGGAGCCACGACAACCTCAGACACTGCTACTGCACTGCCAAAGCTTCTGTGGGCCAAAGGAGCCTTCTGCAAGGATGGTCTGCTTCCCCAGAAGATGCATGCCTTGCAGCTCGAAACATGCAGATGCTTTCAACAAGCATCATATACATCTTACATATCAGGCTGTTGTACATTTGGGCGCTTCTGCAAATAGGGCTCCAGTTGTATCCCGGTAAATATTGGGATCTTCATGCTAGGCACTCCCAAAAAAAGGGCCACCGATTTTTGGGCAGGCGTCTCGGCCTGCTTCAAAAGTGTCTTTCTCTTTGCCGTCCTTGCTGATGCCCACATCCCGCAGCTGCACTCCCGCCAGGGCACCGTCCACAAAGACTGGAGCATCTGCTGCAAATCCTGTACAAATGTCTGCTCACAGCCCTGGCCCCGCGTAACTTGTAACACGCATCTGCAGGCCTGCGTAAATCTCTACGCCCAGCTCCTCCGCTTGCTCTGACAGCCACCGGCAGAGCTGGCCCAAAGAGATCACATAGTTGCCCTCCCAAAATCAGCAAATAGCAACATTGTATGTGTAATAGTAATATTACTAGTAATAGCAAGATTAATAATAATGATAACAATAGTAATAATAAATGGTAGCGTCCTTGTGCAGATTTCCCGGTTGCTAGCAAGTGTCCGCAAACCTTGTTCGGACGCTCCAAGCATAATTTCCAGATTTGCTCAGCATTCGCGTATTTCTCAACAGCATCCCGCCAGCAAATCCCCCAGTGATCCCTGTAAATCCCTGCTTTCTCAAGGGCTCGACATTTCGACAGGTATACAGCCCAAAAGAGGGACCCTTGAATTTTGGAAGCTCCCATTCTCCCCATCTTGGCCAGTTGTGCCTCCTGTCGCAGCTCAGGCGCCATGTGAAGAAGGGGCCCCGGCATTGGAACCGCATGTTGCCCGTTAGGCAACCTGGAGTGAGGAGAGGGTTTAGGGTTTAGGG